AGCCGAAAGCGGCTCGGGAGATGGGCTTTGCGGGACGCTGGTAAAGACGCGGGGATCGCCCAAAGTTCTTCATTTTCGGGTGGTTCTCTTCCTTTGTCCCCACCCCAGACTCCCCCCCCCCCTTTTCTCGATTTTGTTCCTTTCCCCCCTTTTAAAACAAATCAGCAACAACGAACAAACCACACAGCTTTGTAATTGGGCTCCTTTGGCTGTTTGCGAAGAACCCCTCACACACACAAGTTAGTTCGGGCTGGGCCCCAGGAGATCGACTGAGAAAGGCTTTGCGATGACCCAGGAGAAAGGCGCCCCCCCTAGAGCCCCGGGTCAGAGGCGCACGCTGAAACTCAAACACTGAACTGGCAGGCGGCCAACCCTTCCATGGGGCTTCGATAGCCTTAGCTGGGCGAGGGGCGCCTCCGCCACACAGGTGACTGCCCGAGGTGGCGGCAACCAGCAGACGGCGATAGCGGCCCGCGCCTCGGCAGGGTCCATGCTGGCTCGCCTAGGGTCTCCGGCCCCAGCGCGCCGCCGTCCACCTCCGGCTGCAGGTCCAGCGAAGGAGTCACAACTTCCGAGCACGCCCCTCTCGGATTTGCTCTCCTCCCACTTGGCCAATAATCTGCGCCTCCTGTTGGCCGAGTTGACCTCGGAGGCCGTTTCGAACTTGCAATATTCTTTCCCTGTCCTGAGTTTTCTTTGCGGCCGCCTCCTGCTAAACGTCACTCTTTGTCGCCCCACAGTCCGGCCTAGAAACTGAGGGTTCTCTAGAGATCTTCAACTATTCTCCCAGCCCTTTGAGGGTACGTCAGAGCCTGGAAGTCTTTGCCCCTGGAAGTTCACAGGAGGGCACCTTTACGTGTCCTCTGTCCTCCAAGTGGCTCACCAGCCTTTAAAAGTCTTGTTCTGAGCATGGTCAGGAGAGTGTCACCAGGGTAAATAGTCTGTCTGGACCTCTCAGGGAGTAATATCTAGTCTTGCTCGGTCCCCAAGAACTTACCAACTTGTTCGAGGCTTGTTATGCTGAGCATAGCCGGCCTTAAAAGAGGGGGGGAGACAAGGGGTTCTGTCCACAGCGGCCCTATTTGCGACAAACAATTCTCATGAGCGTAAATGTGTGTATAAGGGAGTGGAAGTACTGCTTATTCTGTCAGGGGTTCGAGTTTATGGTGTTTAAAAGCATAAACACAACATTTCCATATACGCACCTTCATAATTTACCTATGCTAACTTACATATACAGGCACACGTGCATACACTACACCTGCACACACTGTCCTCTGGCTACGGGTCGACCTGAATTTTCTGAGGATTATAGCCACAGGTTGAATAAAGACTTAGCCACTTTTCTAAGTGGGTCTTTGGCATTTTGAGCAATGGAACAGTGAAATTTCTGAGTTGCTGAAGGAACAAAATAGGTTGGTCAACAGTGAAGTAACCCTTGCCTTGGATTCTGGACTTTCTCTAGCGTTACTTGAACATGGTACAGTCCTCATATCGTGGAGAGTAGTTTTTAGGATGGCATCGGGCTGGGAGGCAGCCCCGCCAAGCTGGCAGGGGGAGGATGGGAAGCAAACAGAAGTATTTATCAAACTGGCTTTAGATTGGGGAAGTGACATAGAAGGAGCGAGGAGCAGAGGCTTCCAGGGGTTGTCACTGACAGGAGTTGCCGTGTTTCTCACTGCTCGCCAGGATGGAAGGCACAGGAGGTCTGGCACACCGTGCCCGCCACTGCTCAGTTGGCACCACTGCTGCCAACCTCCTGCCACTTGACAACAAGTTACACCTGCATCTCTGATCTCCTGCTTCTGCAGGTGGGCACCCGTAGGGGCTGCACTGGCTTGGGCTGGGAACTGTTGATTACTAAACGGGGCTTCCGAAGAGTGGCACCCTGGATAACAAGCACCGACGCGCTTGCATGCAATGTGACGCCTTTTACCTCCTATTTAGATGCTCTGGAAAACAAGGGTAACATCCTATTTGGAAACAATGTTCAGGTCTTGGTAGAAAGAAATGAGACCATTTCAAAGTCATCTATCCAAGTTCCCCAAGGCATAAAGCATTCCTGCAAGGCTCACTGGAGTGCAGGGTGTTTGTAAAATAAATTGCCCCATTGATATGGAAAATAATGTGCCAAGCTTGATTCATACAAAACGTTTTCAGGGGGTCTTTTGGCTATTTAGTTTAAAATCTAAATTGAAAAGCACAGGAAAGAAATCTTTCAATTGCTAAGTGGATAATATAGTTTATAATTTGTAAAGCGTTTCCTTTATTTCAGTCTTGCTGATTTCCCCTAACACAGTGGATCTCTCTGCACACCCATCGCCTCCTAAATTATCAAAGGAAAATGGTCCTACCAAATTCTTAAACAACATTCCTGTTAGTTTTGTTCATTTACAATGTAACTGATATTCGTAGGTAGTTCATGAAACAGGTCGAAAGATTTAATAAACTAAAATAAGAAAGCAAGTGAAAACTAAGTTTAAAACCTAGATGTTTATAAAAATATGAAACGATGTTTCCTTTCTAGCATAATTCTATATTATTTGATGAGTTTACTACTAAGTACTGACTGGATGGCCTGAAATCAAAGCTCAGTCGGCAGAGGGATGGATTTGCTGCTGTACTGTGTTGCAACAACCTGGGAGAAAAATAAAATAAACCTATGTAATAATCATAGCAAGGGAGCAATGGGGTCAGGAAATTCACAGCCTCAGATATTTTTGCTAACAGAAAAAAAAATAGAACTGTCATATGCTCAACGCCCAACGTACTGGGGCACCCTTATTCTTCCTATTATCCGTTATCTCTGCCATCAGAAGAGCCTTTGGATTACACACAGGGCGGTCTGCAGGCATTCTGCAAGGCCTGCCTTGGCCAACAACATTCTCCTGAGGCACCTTCGTCTCAGAAGGAGAAGCGCAGCCTCTATTTCCACCCCACCCCGCCCCAGGACGCCTGAAGAACTTCTGTGCTCTCAGGGTCTTTCCGGAAGAAGACTTTAAATCAAGCCCTCGTCTTTCTCTTGGAAATGGCGGTCTGAACCCCTGTAGGCTGAGGTTGGGTTGGAAATTCCCTGTGCATCCCGGAAGCATACTTGCTCTGAGATTCAAGAATTACAGCCATATGTGGATTGCCTCGATCACTCCAGAAATGACCTTCCCCCCACTCTGCACCCCCCCCCGCAACGTAGAAAGAAGCAAAACAAAACAAAAAGGCAACGCTGTCACCGGATCGGAGGCACCCCCTTTCAATTGGGTTTCAGCACCCCCCCCCACATCCCGAGTTCACACGGTTTTCCAAGTCCTTTGGCAAACAACTCCTGGGAGGATCGCTCCAGAAAAGAATGGGGTAGGTAGGTATTCTTTCGCTGTTTCAACAAACTTTTTTGACTGTTGGAGTGACTAGATTCTAGACATAACTTGTTTTTGACCTTCGCGGAGATTCCAGAGGAGAAAGTAAGTCGGGAAAAGTACTTGACTCTAACACCCCGATCCATTAAAAGACACCCCCGCCCCAAGAAAGTTCAGGGTAAATAAGGGAGCTGTGAATCCTGCACCACACAAAAGCGTCGGCACCTCCATCCACGGGGACGCGAATTTCAGATCCCGGATCTGGAAAGGCCTTTGCTAGAACAGACTCTGGAGAATGCACTGAGTGCCGGGGGTGGGAGAGTCTGCTTGGCCTGAAAACCAGCAGTGGGGCTTTAGGCACAAGCTCCCCCGGGAAAGATCTCCCCCGCACCGCTGTTATTCTGCCCTCCGGCTGAGAGCAAAGTGCGGCCTCCATCTCCAACTTTCCCCTTCCCTGCCGGCGCAGAGTTGGCTGGCTGGGGACAGGGGAGGAGCTGGGTCTCCAATGAGCGCATTTAAACACGACCCAGGGCTGTATTCCCCCCCCGCCTCCCCCGACAGCGATTCTTTCTTCCTCTTGGTTTTCAACCCAATCGTTAATCATTCGGAGCGCGCGGGCGGGGAGAGGAGAAGGGGGCGAGCTCCGGGTTCGCCGCCATCGCCGCCGCGCGCGCGTGCGCTCGCGCGCGGGCTCAGGAAGCAGTGTGGCTGTGACCCCGCCCCCCCGCGCCCCTTTCCCCCCCTCCTTCCTGCCCTTGCTCCCCCCTCTTCTCCTCCTCCACCTCCTTGCTCTGCCGCCCGCGCCCAGTGTATCTACTCCCTCCCCACGTCACTCGCCAGCGCGCCATGCAAATCACCGCCGCCGCCGGCTCCCATTGGCCGCGGCGCGCTCATTTAATGGCAGCCCGGGCCCGGCGTATGGCTGCTGGGCCCCCCGCGCCACCGGCCCCGCGTGCGCCTCCGCTCCAAGCGCACGGCCCCGGGCAGGCAGCGGACAGCTTGTCCTGGGCGCAGCGGCCCGGCTTTCTGGCTCTCTGCACGCACTGGCACTCCCACCGCTGTCCCTAACCCCCTCCCTGGCTGCACCGCGATCGCCCCCTCCGAACCCCCCTCCGAGTCCCCCCTCAGAGCCTGGCTCCCCCCAGGCACCTGGGACCAGCACATGCCCAACGCACGCGGCACGCCGCCCTGCTAGAAGTTGCGGCCTCGGAGTTAGAAGCCGCCAAGGAAGCCAGCACAGGAAAGAGACTTCGAGCGGCCAAGAGGAGGCAGCGAACCCGGCATCGGGCCCAGTGGCACCGCTTCAGACCCAGAAAGTGGAGCCTCAACTTGGCCACGACTGCACCTGTTTGCACAGCTCAGCCGAGAGCGCCCGGACTGCGGCACCGGCGGCGGTGGCGGCGATCACTCTGGCCATCGGCCTCTTTGGCAAGTGGTTTGTGCACCCGGAGAAACTTTCCACCTGCGAGCTGGACCCGCGCTAAGTGCGTGTGCTTTTGCCTCTTTTTTGTTGTTGCCTCCACCCAACCCCCTTCTCTCTGCTAGGCACCCCCCCCCAGTCTCTCTGGGCTGATCCTCTCTCCACCCACCCACCTCCACCCGGCCGTCTATGCTCCAGGCCCTCTCTTTGCGGTACCGGTGAACCCGCGAGCCGCCCAGATGTACAGCATGATGATGGAGACCGACCTGCACTCGCCCGGCGGCGCCCAGGCGCCCACGAACCTCTCGGGCCCGGCCGGGGCGGGCGGGGGCGGTGGTGGGGGCGGGGGCGGCGGCGGCGGCGGGGGCACCAAGGCCAACCAGGATCGGGTCAAGCGGCCCATGAATGCCTTCATGGTGTGGTCCCGCGGACAGAGGCGCAAGATGGCCCAGGAGAACCCCAAGATGCACAACTCGGAAATCAGCAAGCGCCTGGGGGCCGAGTGGAAGGTCATGTCCGAGGCCGAGAAGCGGCCGTTCATCGACGAAGCCAAGCGACTGCGCGCGTTGCACATGAAGGAGCACCCGGATTACAAGTACCGGCCGCGCCGTAAGACCAAGACGTTGCTCAAGAAGGACAAGTACTCGCTGGCCGGTGGGCTGCTGGCGGCCGGCGCCGGTGGCGGTGGTGCGGCCGTGGCCATGGGCGTGGGCGTGGGCGTCGGGGCGGCGGCGGTGGGCCAGCGCCTGGAGAGCCCGGGCGGCGCGGCGGGAGGCGGCTACGCGCACGTCAACGGCTGGGCAAACGGCGCCTACCCCGGCTCGGTAGCCGCGGCGGCCGCGGCCGCAGCCATGATGCAGGAGGCACAGCTGGCCTACGGGCAGCACCCAGGCGCGGGAGGCGCGCACCCGCACGCGCACCCGGCGCATCCGCACCCGCACCATCCGCACGCGCATCCTCACAACCCGCAGCCCATGCACCGCTACGACATGGGCGCACTGCAGTACAGCCCCATCTCCAACTCTCAGGGCTACATGAGCGCGTCGCCTTCGGGCTACGGCGGCATCCCCTATGGCGCCGCGGCCGCCGCCGCCGCCGCCGCTGGCGGCGCGCACCAGAACTCGGCTGTGGCGGCCGCGGCGGCTGCAGCGGCAGCATCCTCGGGTGCCCTAGGCGCCCTCGGCTCGCTGGTTAAGTCAGAGCCCAGCGGCAGTCCGCCGGCCCCCGCGCACTCGCGGGCGCCGTGTCCCGGGGACCTCCGTGAGATGATCAGCATGTATCTGCCCGCCGGCGAGGGTGGCGACCCGGCGGCGGCAGCGGCGGCCGCGGCCCAAAGCCGGCTGCACTCGCTGCCACAGCACTACCAGGGCGCGGGCGCGGGCGTCAACGGTACGGTGCCCCTGACGCATATCTAGCGCCGCGGGGACGCCGGGGACACTGTGGCTCGAGGCCGCCGACCCGGCGGCGAAGAGCGTGAGACCTGGCGCCGGAGCCTTCGGGGCTCGACTTTGTACAAACGTTCTTGTAAAAAGACCGCTCTGGGGAACCCAGCACCAGGTGACGTCTGCCCTCTCTCACCTTTCCCGTGACTCCGAGGCGCTGGCACCAGGCTGGCATCTTAGACTGAACTTTGGTGTTTTCACGAAACCTTTTGTACAGTATTTATCGTCCGCAGAGGAGGCACACAACGTTTTCTCGGCTCGGGAGGACAAAAGACAAAACCCAGCGAGGCGATGCCAACTTTTGTATGACTGCCGGCACTGTAACTTTCTCCGGGCTTTGCTTCCCGCCGCCGGCTCTTCTGCCTGAGGCCGAGTGACCTCGAGCTGTTCTCAATTGTTATAAATGTAGTAAGGCAGATCCAAACATTTACAAGTTTGTTTTTGTTTCTTGTTTCTTGTTTTTTTTTTTGTTTATTTGTTTGGGTTTTTTTTTGTAGTTACCGATCTTTTGGGTTGGCTGGTTCATTTATACCGTGATCCCCTCTCAGACGGTGGAGATATATATATTCTGGGTTTTGTAAAACTCTGTATCCGAGCATTTCCATTTTTGTTTTGTTTTGTATTATTTCTTGTAAATGCGTTGTGACATTTTATTTTAGGCGTTGCGGTACGGGGGGTGGGGAAGAGGAGTCAGATGATGTACATAGCCTGCAAATCTTTCATCTTAAAAAAACAAACAAACCCGAAAATAAAAAAGAGAGATCCCCCCAAAAATACATCAAAATTTGAATCAATGAGTTTAAGAAAGGAAGGCCCGTTTCTCTATGAAATTGAAACGTGCTAATTTTACATGCATGTTATATGAGTTAAAAATACAATCCGCAATCTGTTGGAGGAGAAATTATCAGTATGACCCAAGAGTAAGGAAACCCCACCAAGCACCAAGCGGAGGGCAGCTTTTCAGTGGCTTTATTCAGTGAGAGAGGAGAAAGACAAACTATGTAGCTTATTTTGTAGAGTTTAAGGTAAGACAGAAGGGAAGTAACTACAAAAATTTAGCTGCCACGGTCCTGCCCCCCCCCCCATTTCTTTGCTGTGTCTCTGCCCTTCACCTCCTGTGGTAGTTTTTGAGGCGGCTTGGTCCTGACTGGAAGGAGATGGGGCAGTGCTCGATGGTGGAGCTGGTGGGCAGAGGCCAAGGATGGGGGACAAAGACCGAGACAGTGTGCCTTTGATATCTCTGTAATTGGGATTGTAAGTAAAATTGCCTTCCTTCAGAGGAAGCAGTCCTGACCCAGAACTCCCAACACTGAAGTGTCCCTCACCCAGGTCCTACCCCAACTCCTCCCTCTTCCTCTCTGGAAAAAGGCAACATGATTTTTCGATTTTCTTACACACACACACACACACACACACAGAACCGACCACCCCCTCTCCTGTGTGAAACGGGATGCAGGTTGCTAGGGAATGTAAACACAGACGGTGGTGTTTATTATCCCTGACCATGAGGTTGTTTGATGCTTTAAAGATTTTTAATTATATTTTTTCTAGGTGTTTATTGGTACATTGCAGGGTTTTTTTTCCTGGAATTTAAAGTTTTCTGTAAAACTTTGTCTTCAAATAATCTGACAGCATTAAACATTGCATTTAAAAGTTATACTGCAGCAAATATGTTTTGAAATTAATCATGGCATTTAGAATGAAATTCTATTTTTGAAGGAAATTTTCCGTAACTCTGGAGGGAAATAATACTAATTCAGCACCTTCCTATTTTCTTCTCTCTCTCTCTCTCTCTCTCTCTCTCTCTCTCTCTCTCTCTCTCTCTCTCTCTCTCTCCCCCTCTCTCTCTCACTCTCTTGGACTAGTCATTCAAAAGTGGACTTACTCTATCAATTCAGTAAGACCTTAGCTTGGCCTACATTGGAGAATACCTTTGAGTATAAATGCTAATCTTACAAGTGACATGTGTGATTTTTTAAGTGATTTTGATGAATTTTCTTAAACCCTCATTCCTTGAAGTGATTGCAAGAGATTCAAAGATGATGCCCACTGCTTTCTGATAAGGTAATAAAAGGACCCCCCCTTCTTTACTTTTCCTTTAGGACTTTTGCTCTGTTGTTTCCAGAACTGCTTTGCTTGCTTCGGAGCCCAGGGAGGGAGCAGCACTCAGGCTGTCTGGGAAGAAGAGCCCGTAACCTCCTCAGGGAAATTCTAGGGTGCTTGCAGGGTCCAGCCCACCTTCCCCTTAATACACAAGGGTCTTTGGTGACTGGCCTCCAAAGTCGCCTTCTTCTTTAGTGGGAACAGGGGTACCCACACTCTGTCGTGCCTGGACTTCTGGGGTTCACTGCCATAGGAGTTATGGGCCGACTTTAAGTGGAACACAACGAGTGAAGTTAGCCGTCTCGAGAATACCAGACAGCTCAGCCCCCTCATTTTGTGTTTTGTGTTCCCTGCTTGAGCTCCACCCAGTGATCTGGGGTTCTTTGTGCCAGGCCTCCAAGCCACCTTCCTTTGGGTTCTACTGATGTGAACGCCTGAGGAGAAATTCTCTAATGACTTAATTTGAAAACAAAGCAGGAGGATTAGGGTGAACTCCTCTCGAGATTGAAGCCAGCTCCGGGCAAGCTCTCTCCAGTTTGAGTGAGTGGAGAGAATTTTCTCCTACGCCTTACTTGGAGCCCAACTCAGATACAGTTCCTATCCAGAATCTTTATGATCTTTATTACAAGATAATTCACTTCCAACGCACGGGCGGTGTTTCGTTCTATTAGTGCAATTTTGTTTAAAATCTGTGTGGAGAGTGGGGCGGAATCCTTGTGAAGCCTGGATAAAGTTTGCATAACTTTGTGTGAGGCTTCAGGGTGGCTTCGAAACTCACCTGTGAACTAAGCAAGGTGGTTTGCTTCACGCCGCGCCTGCCCTCTCTCCTCTCCTCTCCCCTTCCCTCTCTTCTCGTCCCCTTTCTTTCCTCTTCACTTCAGAAAACAAAAAAGCCAAACTTATTAGCCCCCTTTTTTACTGTTAGCACCGAGACGACGTTGACACCCTCCCTCCAACCCACTAGTAGGCAGATGAAACGAATTAATGTTTTTAAAGGAGTTGCGGGCGCAGCGCGCGTGATCTGCAGATGTGTCGGGATGTGACTGATAGGTCTATTAAAATCATGCGTGTGGGAGAAGAATAACACTCATATTCCCGCATTTCATCCCCCCCCACCCCCGACAAAGACTGGGCACTGCCGAGCTCTGTCTCCGGAAAATTCCAGTCAGTTGGAGAAGCCCTCCCCAGCACTCGTGCTCGCAGGCTGTCTCTGTCCAGCTGGGGTCCAGAGCCGCTGGCTCCCGGCCCCTGTGCTCTAGTGGTCACGCCCTCTCCCCACCCAACTTCCGCAGCGGGTGTCCGGGAGCCGGGCGGTGGAATCCAATCCGAGGTTAGAGTCCTGGGAAAGTTCAGGAGAAAAGCAGACTTGGCCTTGGCGCAGAGACTAGTTGGCGGGATCGAGAGGCCCCGGCGGATGGGGAGGAGGGATGCTGCGCGGTTCCCGGGGGGAGAGAGCGCCAGAGTTCTGAGCAGGGTGGCGGGTGGACTCGTCGCAGCCAGGCTGCCTCTGCTGGCTAGAGGCTGGGGCGCCGCACCCCTTCCTCTCCTCCTGCCCTCCTCCTCCTCGCCCCTCCCGCTTCCTCTCTAGCTGCGCGCCCCGCAAGACCTGACTTCACCGGCCCCTAGGACCAGCCAGCGGGCCAGTGCGGCCTCGGACAGCGCCACATCCCGGGTGTTGGGGCCAGGACCCCACGGGGAGCGGCTGGCCTCCCTTGGTGCTCTGCCTCCGGGGTCCCAAGTCACGCTTCGGTGGCTCTGCTCGCGGCTGAGTCCCTCACCTCGCCCTTCTCCCAAGCCCCTCTCTGCACCCTCTCGCCCGCCACTTCTCCCCTTCCTCTCCGGTCCCCTCGCCCTCCATCCGCAGTCTGTGCTCTCGCTGGGCTCTCCCTGGACGCACTGACAGGCCCTCCCTTTGTCTTGATCCTCGGTCAGATGCGCGCCTCCGAGGCCCCTCTCCTCTCCCCACTCACGCTCTCCAGCAGAGCCGCCCCGTCGGAGCCCCGGGTTCAGAGCGCTCCATCCCCTCTTCGAGTTCGTCCGTGCTTGCGGGGATGGCAAGGAAGGATTGGCGTCCCCCTTGCTCATGTCCACACTTGCCCGGAGGCCGTTGGGGAGTTAAGAGAGGAGGGTTTGTGTTAACGACTACAGGATTACAGCGGAGAAAGTCCTGACCTGGGGTCAGTCTCAAGCCAAACCTTTCACAATCAGAGGGGGAGCCAAACAGGTCCCAGGGGAGACTGCAACAAGTGGGCGCAGAGAGGAGGAGGGGAGGCAGTGTCCCCCGGAAAGCGGAGACAAGGAAAAGGCAGCGAGCGAGCGTGGCTCGCTGCTCGCTGCAGAAGTAGGCCCTGGGCAGCAGCTGTCACAGGCAGGATCGCGTGGGCCTGGGTCTGGACAGCGACAAGCTGCCTCCAAAGGTAGCGATCTCAGGGAAACGTCTGCTCTGGCCAAGTCTGGGGGTCCGCCTGCATGCTGCTCCTTGGGAGTGTAAGAGAGGCCTCTGCGAAAGGTTTTATGAACACAACTCAGCGGACTTGACCAAGTCCTCAAAAGCGGGACTGTGCAGTCCTTTGGTGAACCCCTGCTCCAGTTTAGACTCCGCACAGCCCTTTACTTCCTCTGTGGGGGCTGAGGTGGTGGTCAAAGGAATGGACCGCCTTGTGTTTGTTCGGACTGAGGAGACCCGGAATGTGGACAGGCTGGTCAGAAGGAAGCTGGAAGACAAGGAAGGAAGTAGGCTCGCCTTCCTTAGACCCCAAACGTTCGCACTGAGACGAGTCCACTGGTGATGTTGGACAAGTGTGGAAAACGCAGAAAAGCTCAAGGAAGTAGCATACCCATAGACAAAGAGCCTATGTTTGGGTAGTAAAAAATAAAAAGCACAAAATTGCCAGACCTTCTGAATTTTCGCCTGCACATAAGCAAACGCCAGCGGCCGGGAAGGGAAGAGTCAGTTTTAGGTGTTCCTTCGTTTTGGTTGTGTGTGTGTGTGTGTGTGTGTGTGTGTGTGTGTGTGTGTTTACAGATACAACTGTGTTGAACTCACACATCCTTGCACGGTGGGCACTGTGTAAACTCTCAGGCACAGAGGTGGAAAGTATGTTCTGAATTCAAAATTCAGAATCGAAGACCAGAATGCTGCAGGACCAGCTGCTGCATGACCTCTAGGGGAAACTCGTCTATGGTGGAGAGGCTGGCCATCGAGTCTTCCTGAATGCCCCGCGGGCAGCTCGCGAGGCTTTAATTGCCCTCAGCCACTTCAGAACAGCCGTGTGGGCACATTAAAGACGCTGTTTGTGGAGAACAGCGGGTCACCACACGCAAAGCCTCGGAATAGTCAGCCAGTCAAATCAGTGGAAAAATCAGCTTTTGTTAGATTTTGCAGTTTCGGGAATTAGGCATTCACTGCAGAGCTGCAGTTGTGAGAAATTGCAATGTCAGGCGTGTTCCCAGTGGGGAAATATTGTGAGTGTGGAGGAACGTAAGATTGGGCCTGACAATGGGGAAACTGACAAGAGCCATCACCCAGACGTTGTTTTCTCTCCCGGCACCCCGGAAATGCTAACAAGAGATGCTACTTGGCAGCGGTGGCACGCTGAGTGGGGAGAGATATGCACAGAGGAAGACCTGACCCTAGTTTCACATGAGTCAGGGAATTCACAGGCCAAAAAAAAAAAAAAAAAATGCCCCATAGATGAAAAAAAAAAAAAAAGCCTCCTATGCTCCAGTTAGAAACAGCAACCGGATCTTCTAGAAAAAAAAATAATAAAGTCACAGAGTAGAGGACACCCAGGTGAACCTGCTTAGCCAGGAAGAGGACTGTTAACAGTCAGACTTTAAAAAGCTAAACCCAGAGCATGTTCAGTAAATGCAAGGGCTCGAACCTCTGCTGGGTGGAGTTGGCGCCCAGTCAGTCCTTTGTCTCTACACTAACTGAAAAGAGAAGGTTGACCGGGACATCCTCTCTCTACACTTGCCAAGTAGAGCATTTTCAACTGTGGGCCTGCAGCTCAGATGAGAAACCAGGCACCTAGGTAGGACCATACGCCCAGCAAACAGGGACCCCCAGACATGGCCAGGTGAAGTGGGAAAAACAGGCCCTTGAAATCAAAGTGGGGAACTGGGGCTTTAGGAGGCAGATACGGCAGAGGTGGGGTACAAGGACCCCCCCCCAGTGTGTAGGGGTTTCAGAGCTACTGGGGAGCTGTCACACTCCCTATCTGTTCAGCAGATGTCATTCTTGCGGTTTACCAAGTGCTCACGATTCCAAGGTCAACTGGACAGAGCTCAGTGTCCCATGGGTGAGACCCATGTCACACAAGTAGGAATGGTGTTGCGGTCTTGTGACAGAGGGACACGCCATGAGCATCTGGCCTGGCTGAGGGAGTCTGAGAAAGCCTTCCAAAGAACAGGAAGTCACTTGATTCCTGCAACTGCCTGGTCCTCCCGGTGTGGGAGGTTCCCTGTGTGGCTTGAACACTGTTGGACTATGATCGGTGACAGTGGTGATGTGGCCCCCAAAGACGGCTGGTTTGCTACGGTGACTTTGGACTGGACTTTCAGTAGCAGACTCAGACTTTGCAAGGGTGGTGGGCTCTCAGCCTCTATGGTCTGGCCAGGACCCAGACAGGGTTACCCAAGAATCTGCCCTGTCTCAGGTACAGTCAGGGAGATGCCGATAGTGACCCTGGAGGACACTTGGAAAGTCTGTGTTTGCAGATTACACTGTGTGTGTTTACAGTGGGCAGCTACCAGTGAGTGCCACGATGAGATCATTAAGATCAGAGTAGCAATTTGTTATTTATGAAGTGCTCATTTAGTTCTTCAACTGATGATTTTTGAAAAAGAAAGCAGTGGGA